TTCTGTACAACCCTAGTATTGAACTGGAATTTTGCGATCTTGTGCAATTTTTTTTTTTAAATTCACTTCATATTATATTCTTGAAATCGGTGAAACATCGTACTGTGTATTTGGCCATTAGACATGTAAAACTGATTGATTTATAACACCAACAAACTGGACCTACTAATAATTTCTTATGCAAAAATTAATTTGAAAACAACTTTCGATGGTTACCAATCATTGGAGAATGTGTGTGCTGACTTAATGAAAAAAGAATGTGACCATAGGTGTTGACGAGGGTTCCTAGGATAACTCCACCCCCAAATATTCTTATGAAATGGTGGGTACATTACTGGGATTTGATGATTTTGTTAACATGCTGCTGTCACCGAATACGAAAACACACCGGCGGGTTTTGAGGCCGGTGGGTCACAAAACTCGATCAAATCTTAATAATAATAACTGCATCGAACAGCGTTCCTCCGCTTTGGTGGTTTATTCAAGATAATATAAATATATAAATACATTTCTTACATTTTTATCAAGCAATTCTGAGAGAATTTTTAAATGTCTTTGTCTCCATTATTCTTTTAATTTATCAAAAATGAATAAATTTTCGGGTAGCAAATGTTATATTCTTAGATTGTTGAGTCCTAAAGCAACCACTTATACAATAGATTCTACTTTATGGTAGTACAAGTGGTGGAAGTGGCTGCCTGAACAGAGAAATCAGACTGATTAGGCTAGTACCAGAAAACAGGGCATGTTTTACAGTTGAATTATTATTTGTTGTTATTATTATTAAGATTGAATAAAAGATGTTTGTGTGTATTTTTTCGTTTTATAGAACGGTGTGGTAAAAAGATCACCCACACGTAAAATTTTTATTTGAGCTGTTTTAGGGTTTACTTTACATCATAGTATAAAATAAGAAATTGTATTGATTCCGAATACTGGCGAAATTTACACCGAATACTGGCGAATTATTTACAAACCTATTGGGTGGTCCCATATTTGCCGATGAACTGTATAAAAAATCAAACCAAATCACAAACGTATTTTGATACTAAATAGAAATATTAATAGAACAAAAAGAGTAAATTATATTCAAAGAAATCATACCGATGTAGATTATTTTTCTCGTTGCTTGACCATGGCGCTGGCGGTTGATAACAGTCTATGTATTTCAGGTGGATATTCATCCGAGATATTTTAGAATATCTGGATATTCAACGCAACTGCACAGCGCCAGAGCTATGTGCGTCGCAAATAGAATCTACGGTATGTCGCGACGTATATGTGTATCAAGTGCCGCACGTACACAGTCACACTGTGTCTGTATTTTACGTGTAGTGACATACCGTAGATTATATGTGCGACGCACACAGCTCTGGCTCTGTGCAGTTGCGTTAAATATCCAGATATTCTAAAATATCTCGGATGGATATCCATCCGAAATACATAGAC